TAAAACAAGGCCATAAAGCAATCACGCTTGAATATGAAAATTTAATAATTTGTAACAAGGAAATATTTGGTGTAAGAGATAGTTGTAAGAATATAAACAATTTAATTTTATGTAAGCAAAATAGCATAAAAGAAGTAAGCACCTGCATACCAAACCTTTTAAAAGGATATTCATCCAACTGCACCCTAGTAAACAGTCACCATATGCCCACGATAGAAGAAATAATGCCCGGATTATTATTTATCAATAGTTACAATGGACCCTTAAAAATAGACAACAAAGAAATCTATCTGAATGGTACATTTTTGATCAGATACGATAATTCAAGCTTATCAATTGAAGGCAAACATTTTGTTAATAAAAATTAACTGTTTGCAAAGCCCTTACCAGCAATCGTCAAATCGACAAATGCTACAGCAAATCTCGAGGAAGTTCTTTCTTTGCAATATTTGAAAGAGCTCAATATAGCGAACATCCAAAAAATAGATGATGCCAACTTGAAATACAAAATAAGCATTTTCACATGCTCTTCGACAATCACGCTATCACTGATTATCCTATTGGCCACCACGATTGCCACAAAATTAAACTCTAAAAAGAAAATGAGAATAAACATTCAAGTCAATACCAGCAGTTCAAAGGAAACCCCCACTGTACCTACAAATGAAATGCCATCCAACGAGGACGCTGCATACTTTAAAGGGGGGGGAGTTAATGCCACATACTCTGAAATTGGGCTCCAAAACTGCCCATATATAAATATGTTACTATCCATACGACAGCGGTATGCAATGCTGCGTAAGCATGCGACCTACAAGTAAGTCGCTATCCCACGGGCATATGACACCACACGCGCAACCATTCAATAGCTGACCGTGCATTACCATTCATGGGAATGGACGGAAGTAAATAACGCAACAACAACAACTGGAGGAATCACCTGTCAACCAACGTGACTTCGTACGATAAGTAGAAGTAAGAAATATATTGTAAAGTTAGTAATTAAGTTGCTTCAATTGAATAAAGAACAACGACTTCGAGTCGTTAAAAAATTTGATTTTTTTAGTTTCTCACAAGAGAAACACGGAGTTTTTGTACATGGACTGTTTCTTCAATTTAATAGTGTTCGCTTTATTTTTGTGGAAACGAAACATGTTTTACAAGTTCTGGATCATTTCTACACTCTTTCTTCAAATATTTCTCGTATTCCAACTGTGTTTTGTGTTTGGTTTTTCGCATCGTGTTTTTACTATATTCGTAATTTTAAATTTTTTAATAAAATCAATTGGTGGTAGTTCATGATTGTGTGTGGATTAATAGCACCACACTGAGGATTTGGCAATAACCTTTTTCAACTATTAAAAAACAACACTTACGGGGCAATGTTTATTTTAAGAACAATATTTTCAATGAATGGACATACTTTAAGCATTGCCGACGCTATTTCCATTTGAATGAGGAAATAGCGTCAATTACTTTATTTCCAAATTTTTGTTGACTTTATTTCGCTTTTGAAAAGGTAAAGGTTAATGACAATTGACTTTATTTCGCACCAGGGTGGGAAATAAGGTCAATTGACCTAATATCTGTTGATCTTGTTACCTGTCACCGATTAAAAAACGAGCTTTGATTGAGGTTATGTTTATATGTGAACATACTTATAATCCGAAAAATGTGTTTTTAAGTGACGAGTAATACGATATCGTATCCACCGATGCTCAAAAATTGCTAGAAAATTAAAAACAAATTTTGTAGTTTGAAATAGTTTTATTTAATTCAGTTGATTTTTTCAAAGTTTTTTAAATGCACACACACTTAAATATTAATTAAAAAGAAAAATGAGGAAACATTCAGTCATAAAATATAAACAAAAATTTTAATATATTACTACTCCCTGTGTCAAAAATATTGACAAGTCTTAACAACAAACAAAATTAACAAAAGACCGATTTGATTCAAACACATATTTCTTTCAAACGTTTATTGCTCAGTTCTTATAGCGCACTCGATGAAACCGTATTCAAAAGTAAACAAAACCTGATGGTTTTATTCGACATATATGGCATAGACATTGCTCTTGACCTCCGGAAACGTATGTACATACATAATTTTATTAGGTAGAAAAAAGCTCTTCGCGGGACAGTATTTCATCCTGGGCCGCTATTATGAGTTGCATTCGATCTTTGACTGTGGTCGAAAGTGCTGATCGAACGACTTTTCATTTGGTATTATGGCGCTTGTTCGATGAAGAATAGCGTTATTGTGAATTTCGCTCATTTAGGTTGTTCACATCACAATAGTATATTTTTCACCGGTGAGAAGCTTTGTTTACAAATCGAGCAAACTAAATAGTGTGCGTATACATACATACATATGTACATATGTAAATTTGTGCAAATTAAAATGAAATAAAAAAAAGCGAGTTTATAAAAACGTGATTTTTAGTAAAACGAAATTATGGTTCAACGATTCGTCAAGAGGATGAGAGCTTAGAAAACTGGCCAGGAGCAGAAAACGTTCAAGAGAGTTTAAGTGTAGTCTTTCGAACATAGTTTGACATACAAGAAATTTTGTGATCCAAATCAATTTAAAATATATTAAAACTATCATCAGCTCTACGATTTTGTTCTCAGAGATCGTGCCAACTGAGTATTGGAATTTTCTTTAACAAGTAAAACCAGCCTTTCGAGTTTGTGGTTAGTATTCACGACGTTAGAACTGCATGAAATTGATAAAAATTGTTTCAAATTAGTGTCTAGCCGCCAAATTGTAAGAAAACAAATGCAAAATCCTAAATTTTTCACAATTTTTTAACACTTCGCTACACCATTGAAAGCAAAATTCTGTTCGACAGAAGATTCGATACTCAACGAAAATTTGGACACGGTTCCATAGCTCATAATACCAATTTCACTTTCGATTTTCGATAACCAGCGAAGATCGAAAACCGAATGCAACTCATAGTAAGGGCCTTATTAATGTTTACCTAGGCAAACTAGACTGTGCTTTATGTTCTTAGGTCGCTTATGAAATCAAAACAAATAAATGGCAATTTTCTGAAAGGCGATTTCCTACATTTTTGCGCGCAAGTATCAAAAAAAAATTCCAAGTCTGGACACTTTGATATTCACAACAATCTCTTAAAAAGAAATAAGATTATTATGGAATTTTGGAAATTGGAGTGGTACCGCCCACTTATAACTACTTATATAACTTTATTTCATTACGTCTAACTGAACATATTAGGGGTATTCTCCAAATCTTGCAAAGCCATTGCACGTAGCACGGATTGCATGGATTGCATAACTTGTAAACACACAACAACAAAATACATGGGAAACAACATTTCCTATCGCTACAAAGTATGAAACGTCGAAACCCATGTATATATTTTGCAAAATAGCATAGCAAGATAAATGGGACCCTGTGCTAGTTGTTTTGTTTTTGGAATTGCTACATATTTCTCTCATTCCTCCCATCTCGCTCTGGTACTCTTCGAAATTTGGAATGGTATTTTTGCATTTCGTGCAATCCGTGCATCGTACAAGACTTCGAGAATACCCCTATTGTGATTGAAATAAGGGAAAACCAGTGTGATTCAAATAAAGGAAATCCAGTCTTCTTACAGTGTAACGGTAGTGAAAAAAACTATTATTCTGTGTTCGTATGGAAATTAGCTTATATCGAGAAGCTGGCTTTAGTATAATGCGGCATTCCCTTTGTTCATTGAACCACAAGGAGTTTTTTGATGACACTTAATAAGAATTTTGACTTGATAGTATCGGAACTATTTCTCGCACGCTTATTTGCCATAAGTTCTTCAACGGCTTGGCGCCGGCGAGTCATTCGCTATCGTAGGCTGTGAATGCCGCATTATACTAAAGCCAGCTTTTCGACATCGCTGCCGACTGGTGGTGTAGTGGTAAGCAATGCGCGCTTCCACTCCGCAGCGCCTGGGTTCAAGCCCTGGCCAAAGTAACATCGCAAAAAATGTAGAGAAAAGGTTTTTTCTTAACAGCGGTCGCCCCTCGGCAGTGTACTTCTGCCATGAAAAAAAGCTTCTCATTAAAATACAATCGCCGTTCGGAGTCGGCGTAAAACTGTAGGCCCCTCCTCTTTGTGTGACAACATCAAGGCGCACGCCACAAATCGGAGGAGAAGCTCGGCCAAACACTAACATATGTGTAAGCGCCAATCTATTATTATTATTATTAGCCTTTCGACATAAGCTACTATTCCATACGAACACAGATTTAATACGTTCGCCCGAACTTAGACTTTTTTACTTGTTGTTATTAATATTTTGTGGGGAGGCTGATTCATTAAAATGGAGCGGGCGTGACACCTCCCACCTTTCCAACTTGAAAGGGCGAATACTAAAGAATTCAATGAATCATTCCTTTTTCTCCTCGGACTCCTACAAGCCTCAAGCAAGTCTCAGGAAAATAAGGAAAAAATCAGTTGATATGAACTGCCGTAAGAGAAAGGAGAATTCTGTTGATTGAGGATTATGATCCCGACCGTGTTCGGACGACAACGACAGGCAAAATCAGTACATAATACTGTGGTAAGAGAAAGGAGAATTTTAACTGAGGGTTACGATGCTTAGCGTGTTCGCGGGCCCGAGGCATTTTGTCAGCGACATAAACGATTGTTCCGCTATTTGAAGAGGCTTCCCCGAGGTGGAGAAAGAGAAGAAGGTAGTTCGATTCCCCACGCCACGCATATTTTTGTACCAGCCTTAAAATTATCGACAATATTCGGAACATGTCTCTTAAAAACTATTTGTAAAGTCTTAGGAGTGGTAAAGTGATATATTTAGTTAAATAAACTCTCCCAACATCGCCTTCAAATTTCTTTAAAAAATTTCTGGTCTTTTTTTTTAGAAAAGGCAAAAGGTTCAGTATAACGAGGTCAACCCATTATTTATTTTAATTTAATTGAGAACATTTTTACTCGACTTTCAATTTATATAATTAAATATTTACATTTGTTTTCAGCGCTGCCATGGAGTTCCGTAAAGCTAATTTGGACGCTTTCCAAAAGAAGTATGGAATTAAAATTGGATTTATGTCTATATTCTCCAAGGCTTCTGCTTACGCACTACAAGATCAGCCCGTTGTCAATGCTGTTATTGACGGACAGGTGACTATGTGTTAAAATTAATTTATTATATTACGGATCTGATAGTCATTGGTCCCAAGTAAATTCTTGAATTCTATCATTACAAATTTGTTTGCGTACGTAACGAGTATTATGCAAGTATCTACTTGACAACAGTTGATTTAATTCAGCATTTATTTATACATATCATCCGTTTGTTGACATATCCAAAAAAAAAAATATATAAATAGGTGTATACATAGAACTGACAGTCCTAGTTGTCTTAAAAATTAATACCGATGCCTTTCGATGTTGTGTCATGAAAGGAAATTTGTGTTTTTTTCAACATGTTTGTATTAGTTTTTACCACTTTGCTAGCTAAAACTAGAAAGCAATTAATCTTTGTGGAAGAAGACCAATGTTTGTTGGTCAAACAAATTTGGCGGCAAAATGTTCACAGCGCGAGTTCTCTAGAACAAATTTAGATCCTGTCTTCTAAATGTCCTTAGGTGAATTAGAATTTAGAGTATTAAATTAGGGTATTTCCCTGACGCACAGTAAGTTCCATATAAAATGTGGGCAAAAACAGAATTATGGACGGATATAATTGAAAATTCGCTTCTTAGTAAAATTGACGACGCTAAATTCAAAAATGCAATTTGTTTTTGGATAACTTTCTTACTCCCACTGTAAATGCTGTGAAGTTGAAAATTTGGCATTTACATAGGTATGTACATATGTATAGTTCGTTCTACTTTCAAAAGAGAGGTGTCAAATGAAAGGGCTTGGCCTGTAGATGTGCAATAAAGTTTAATTTTTTTGAAACCGGTTGCCACCTGTTACAAATTTTATTAAAATTATTTCATAAGTCAAATGAATTAGATATTACAATATAGGTAACAATCGAAATGGTATTGAAAATGCTTTACTTTTAAATGACACGTAGAAGGGTTGCCACAGAATCAAATTCAATTTTATTAAGGGAATAAGGTAACTGAAATATGAATATCAATATGGGTATCAGACAAAAGAAGAAATTTGACATATTTAGCAAGAAATAAGTGAAGAGTAAAGACATTCCTGAGTTAATTTAAGAGTCCAGTAATTTAAAAGGAATGTAATCAGAACAAATACCTGATAGACTTTGTATGTATTTGTATTTAAATAACAAATACGATATTGTTGTTGTTGTTATAACAGCATACAGATTCCCCAAAGAGTTTTTGGGGAGTGTTGCTGGAGTGACAGTCCTAGTCCAGATATATGTAATTCTGGGTCGTTCCGGTTACGTAGACCCGACTGTCGATGGAACGAACAAATACGATGTAAACCTTTGGTTTGGCACAATTATTATTTTAATTTAACTAAATTTTACTTCACAAACAGGTAGCAACCCTCTTCGTAATTGCAAGCTAAAACCTTCTTTAACCTCTTTCGTCTGTCTCCCATATGGTGACACCGATCTATTTCAATACCTAATTCCTTTAATTCAAATGGCATCTGATTTTTTAAACAGGTGGCAACCCTCTACACAAGTTAAGAAATAAAGCCTTTTCATACACATTTCGATTGATACACACCTCTTAATAATTCATTTAACTTATTAAACAACAGGTGGCAACTCTTTGAAAAAAAATAAACCTCTATCGTCTACAGGTCAAGCTTTTTAATCTGACACTTCATTTTTGAAAGTAAAACGAATCGTGCAGATCTGATGGCACTGGTAAAAAATGCAAAAATGATTTTATGTATTAGCAAAAATCGCATTACTTCAAAAAGTGCAAAAAATTAGCAGGTTTTTATTTCCCTTTTCGAAAGTTAAAAATTCATTCCATTAAAATTTACCATTTTTGAATGTATTTTTGTATGCTCTTATAAAAATTCTTAGTATAAAATTGGTTGACTTCAGTGGCTTCCTGGTGTGGCGGAATATACACTTGTGATCAGCTAATTAAGCCAGAAACATTTTGATGAATTTTGGCTATTTTTCTTTTGTTTATTTAATGTTTATTATTTTTCCATAAAAGTCTAGCTCATTATATAACAAACACCACATAAATCCAGATTTCAAACTTTGCGCAAAAATTAATTATTATTTAGAATTTTTTTGAGTATGCAGTTAAATAGCCCATTAATTTCTAGGGTAATAATGTGCAAGTCTTAAGTTGCTAAAAAAACGCGTTGATTTTTAATAATTTTTTTCTGAATTCAAGACGCTTTTTTTCAAAAAAAAAAAAAAAATTTCGAATTTATTTTGTATGGAAAAAAATTTGTAATGCAGGTTATTAAACTGCATACTCAAAAAAATTCTAAAAAATCTGAATAAAAAGTTGAAAATTTAGCTGAAACTTTGCAGATTTTTCATAATTTTTGCACAAACTTTGAAATCTGAATTTATATGGTATGGTTATTATATAATGAGCTAGACTTTTATGGAAAACTAATAAACATTAAATAAACGAAAGCAAAATAGCCAAAGTTTATCAAAATGTTGCTGGCTTAATTAGCTGATCACAAGTGTAAGTTATTTTATAGGTGAAATTTCTGTTTAATTCTGTTTAGTGGATAAATTACCTTTACAAAAGTACCAAACACGCTCACATTGCAGACAACGACTATTCAAACAACTCATACAATACCTTAGAGGGAGTGGTTTTGTATGATTTCAAAGATTTTTAAACCCGTGCTTAAGGAGGCTGAGCGCAATTTGTATAACGAATTTGGTGCAGATCTTTGAAGTAGTAGTTTTTGAGATACACATACCTCAGTGAAATAATTATATGCGCATATTAATTGTTACCTTCATCTATCTTATTTGCATCGGTACTTTCTTTTTTAAGTATATTACACAAGGCGCTGTTTGTTTAGTATATTTTTTTTAATATTTCATAAACCTCTGTTCTTAGCCCTGTTACATAAACACTTTTTGTGTCTAATACCTTTCTTAGGAAAAAGTTATATGTGCCAAACATAGTTCTCATTGTTTAAAATGTCACCACGTGAAGTGAAACAATTACTTTGATAAAAAATTACAGGCGTAGTAAAAATTAATATTTTTTGCAATCAAATCTCGCGGAAAATTTGAACTTTTTATAAAAGTGCCTCGTGGTAGCATTTATTTAGAAATATTCAACATCATTTTTTAGAGATTTATATAGAAACTCTTCATTGCACATATAATTATTTCACTGAGGTACAAATGGGCATATCTCTCGAACTTTTGATTTTCGACATTTGAAAAAAAAGTTTTGACATACTTACGGTGACCAGATTTCTGTGGACAAAAATCGGGACATTTCTAAAGCATCGAATCCGAACATACAATTTTGCTCTTTAAATAAAAAAACATAACATTTTTAAATACAGTTTTATTTAAGACAAAACAAAGAGAAAAATGATCGCACCCACCAGGATTATGGGCAGCTGCTGCAGTTCGCCAGACATAACAATAGTCAGCGCTGGTCTGATAAACAGCGTATCATGGCGACCTATGCTGACCTTAGCATCAGACCATCTGCCCATAGTCATCTCGATCGATAAACCAGCCGACTTTGCTTCCGCGGAGCACCGGACCTATATCAACTTTACTAAAGGTGATTGGAAAGGCTTCGCGGAATTTACTGAAAGCACCTTCGCTGCGCTTCCCGCACCAACCGACATCACCTAGGTGAACGTAAGTTTCGCAGGGTTGTCACCGCTGCTGCAGCTCGCTTCGTACCAGCAGTTCTAGCTGATGAGCGTGACAGCCCCCGTCAGGCCGATCGCCGAATCCCCGGATCAAGGATCTCAACGCGGAGATTCGGCAGCTTGTGAACGTACATAAGCGGAAAAAGTGGGAAGAGCATCTGAAGACCTGTAACTTCGCCTCTGGTGTGAGTAAGCTTTGGTCAACCGTGAGGTCACTGTCCAATGCGACGAAACACAACGACAGGATCGAAACATCTTTCGGCGACCATGCTTCGTCGGACCCAGTGCGATTCGCGAGCTATTTTAGCCGGCAATTTATACTGCATCCTCCGGCGGAGAAAGACAAGCGTCGAGTGACTAGAAGGCTGCACAAACCGCCAATAACCAGTGCGCCTCTTGTTTTCACTTGCGGAGAAGTTCAGGTAGCCATAGGGAAGGCGAAAGCCTCCAAAGCCATGTGGCCCGACGGAATATGCATGTTGATGCTGAAAAATTTGGGTCCTGCGGGAGTAGACTATTTAGCCAAGGTTCTCAACCTGTCAATGGCCACTCTGGTCATTCCAGACATCTGGAAGATTAGGAGAGTGGTCCCTCTGCTCAAACCGTGGCCAACAAATGAGAGTCTTATCGTCCGTTAACCCTACTTTCCCCGGTAGCGAAGACACCAGAGGCCATATTTTACGAACCACCTGACCCCAGCGAAGCATCAGCATGGTTTCCGTAAAGTGCACAGCACAATAACAGCACTTAACGCCATAAACACTCCGATAACACGTGACCTTAACCGAAACCGTTCCTGGTAGCGTTGGAGCTGTTAAAGGCGTTTGATACCGTCAGCCACTCTAAGCTGCTAGAAGACATGGTTGGTTGTTTGGTTTAAGTGGATTGTCACTCAGGTGACAAGCAATTAGCAAGTTTGCCATTTTGATTCCACAACTCGTGCAACCTACAGCCATTTGGCGGCTTTAATAAATTTCAGTACGTCATACAGAGAGAGGCAGCTGCACTCTGAAATATTCTGCAGGAATGGTTTGCCGAGTGTCTTTAGCCTCATCCTTGCGAGGGCTGGACACTCGCACAGCAAGTGTTCGACTGTCTCTTTTGAGCCCGGGTCATCGCAGCTGCGACAGAACCTATTGAAGGGCAGTCCTATCCTTTCGGCATGTACCCCAACGGGCCAGTGCCCTGTGCACACTGCAGTAAGTTTGTAGGCATTTGTTTTACTCATTCCTAAGAGAGCTCTGGTTTTGAGTGGGTCGTAGGACACCCAGAACTGCCGGGCAATTCTGTAGGATCCTGTGCAGTTCCACCTCTGCCTGGCCTTCGAATGATAAAATTCGGTAATTTTTGTCTTA